TTGCCAAGTGGCAACCTTGGTGTCATGCAGCTTGACAAGTGGCAGGGTGGCAGCATGCAGCAGGAAGATGGCAACCATGGGCAATGCACAAGCTTGGCGACATTGCACACTGTGGCACTTTTTCTGCTTCTTTCATTGCTGTGTGTCTCTCTCTTCTTCTTCTCTCTTACTACTGTGCGCTCCCACTGCCGCGCACGCTCACTACCACGCGCATCTCTCTCTCTCTTCTTCTTCTCTCTTTCTGTCGTGCGTGTCTCTCTCTTCTTCTTCTCTCTTACTACTGTGCGTGCCCACTGCTACGCACGCTCACTGCCATGCGCATCTCTCTCTCTTCTTCTTCTCTCTTTCTGTTGTGCGTGGCCACTGCCGTGCACGCTCACTGCCGCGTGCATTTCTTTCTTCTTCTTTTCTCTTACTTCCGTGCGCACCCACTGCCGCATACTCCACAGTCGCACGTTCTTCTCTCCTTCTTTTCTGTCTTCTTACTGCCTCGCATACTTCGCCACATGTGCACACTGTCGTGCGCACCTTCTCTTACTGCTCTCTCTTCACTGTTGCACGCATAAATTGCCACGTGCGTACTGTCGTACACTCTATCTGCTTGAGAAAATCGGGATGATTACAATGCTAGAGTAATTCCCAACGGCGACGATAAGGCAACCAGAAGACAACATCTAGAGAGCGGCCCGAAAGGAGAGTGAAGGGCCTAACGTCGGCTCCCCTTAGACTTCTGTCAGACCAGTTCACCTCGAAACAACGACGGTCTACAGAAGTGAGATAAAGCCAAGTATTAATGTTTGTTAGTACGAACTGACACGTGTCAAGCCGTACTGATGTGTCCTCTACAACAGTATGAGCATATGTGTCGACTTTTAGGTGACTAGGAAGTATCCTATCAACTACCAAAAGTATGATACACCAGAGTAACCATCAAAAGCCATTGTCATTTAGAATGGCGTCAAAGTATCCAAGTAGAGACCGACCTTGATCAGAAGCCTCAAAACTTGACACATGGCACTTTTATATATGGAGCAGTTCCAAGTTGCGATGGCGCCACCGCCAATAGCGCAATACCACTGACATACCGCCCACAATGTTGTACCCGATCATGCCATGTGATAAGAAAGCAATTAAGGCAGCATTTATTACCAGAGGTGACAATTAATGTTGCTTTAGACAGATCCGACGCCAGTGCTAGTAGAACCAGAGACTGTCAAACTAGCTCTTAGGGACGGATGGTCAAGATTGAATCATGAAACAATCCATTGGCTATCTTGAGCCTGATTTAGCTATAAATAGACCTCTTGACCTTAGGTAAAAAAAAGAAAAAAGAGTTTTCGTACATTAAGTGTGTAAGCTTTGTTGAAGTCAACCAAAAATCAAACCTGAACTTTCACCCAAGCTTCTAAATTCTAACTTTTAAGCTAATCAAACACATTTTAAGATAATCAGACCTTTCAGGCCCCCTTCTGCCTATATTCACTTACTCTGTCTAAACCCCCAAGGATTGGGATTGACCGTGCAACCACTTAATCTGAATCACCGCACTCTAGGTGTCTGGCCTAGGGGCCTGACCTAAGATCCCACATTTTTTTTCTCTTTAATTTCATGCATGTTATCAATGTTTTCTTCTGTTTTCTATGAGTGAAATCACTTTCACTAAACTATCTCTCTCTCTCTCACACACACATTAAGTAACCTCCAATAAAGCTCACATTCTCTTCTCTCCCTCTCTTTATTTCAATCACTAGCATATACAAGCTTTTATCTACTTCTCTAATTGCTTTTGTTGTTGTCCATGAGCATGATTTAAAGCCTTATTAGTATAGCCTTAACGGCTTTGTTGTGTTTATTTGCTTTCTTTTCTTTATCTATTCTCAAGGCGATTTTCATTAAATCTCCATAATTTTCTTTAAACCCTTTTCAAAGTCTCTCGTGAACTCTACAGCTTAAGTGTACGGAAAGCCGGCTTTGTTGGCGGTCCAAGTGGGATACAGCCTTGTGGCCCAATTCTCGTTCGGGACGTAATTTGATGGGGCCCTTCCTTGACCAACTCTTCGACATGTTTACACCAAGGTGGGGAACTGAGTTCACGGCCCGCATTTTCTAGTATAAACACTAAGGGATCGTTTTGATCCTAGAGTAGCCAAAACCATGTTTTGTACACCAAGAGTATCTTGCATAAAAACATGTTTGGCAACTTTTTGGATGCAAAACCATGTTTTATGTAACCAATAAAGAGGGCCAAAATATAAGTATGCAAAATCAGAAAAAAATAGGGTTATCCAAAACATGGTTTTGTATAAGCATGAAAGAGGGAATACAACTTGTGACACTACTATTTTTACATACTAGAGCTGCACAATTTATTAAATATAATTAATTATGTAAAGACATCCACACAAATTAGAGAGAGAAACCACCTCAAACTTTAAGTTTTATAGAGAGAAAATATCTTAAATTTTTTTTTAAAAAAGGAAACTATATCAAATTTTATAGAGAGACCCTCCTAAAAAATTTTAGAGAGCGAAACTATATCAAATTTTTTTAGAGAGAAACTATATCAAATTTCAAGTTTTAGAGAGAGAAAGTATCATAAAATTTTAGAGAGAGAAACCATATCACATTTTAGAGAGAGCAATTACCTAAAACATTAGAGAGAGATCCCTTCCCAAATATTTTAGAGAGAGAAATTTTATCAAATTATAAATTTTAGATGAATAATTTATCTTAAAATTTTAGGTAGAGAAAATGTATCAAACTTTAGAGAGAAAAACTACTTGAATTTTTTTGAGAGAAACCATTTCAAGAATTTTAGAAAGAAGTACTACATTAAATTTGAATTTTTAGAGAGAGAAAGTATCTTAAAAATTTAGAGATAGCAACTAATCAAATTTTAGAGAGAAATTACTTGATTTTTTTAGAGAGAGAAACTTTCTCAAATTTTTTAGAGAGAGAAAGTATCTCAAATTTTAAGCTTTAGATAGAGAAAGTTTCTTAAAATTTAAGAGAGAAAAACTATATCAAATTTTAGAGAAAGAAACTACCTAAAATTTTTAGAGGGAGCAATTAGTGAGAAAACAAATCTTAAAATTTTAGAGAGATAAACTATATCAAATTTTAAAGATAAATTACCTGAAAGTTTTTAGAGAGAGAAACTATCTTAAATTTCAAGTTTTAGAAAGAAAGTATTGTAAAATTTTAGAGAGAGAAACTACCTAAAATTTTTTAGAGAGAGAAATATTTGAAAAACTATCTCCAAATTTCAAGTTTTAGAAAGAAAAAGCATCTTAAAATTTTGGAGATATAAACTATATCTAATTTTAGAGAGAGAGAATATCTAAAACATTTTAGGGAGAGGAATTATCTCAAAAAATTTAGAGAGAGAAACTATCTAAAATTTCAAGTTCTAGAGAGAGTTTCTTAAAACTTTAGAGAAAGAAAATACTTAAATTTTTTGAGAGAGAAACTATCTTAAAATTTGTAAAAGGAAATTATCTCAAATTTTTAGCTTTAGAGAGATAGAGTATCTTAAAATTTTAGAGAGAGAAATTATATCAAATTTTACAAAAGAGAAACTATCTAAATTTTTATCGAGAGTAACTACCTTAAAAATTTTAGAAAGAGGAACTATATCAAATTTTAAGTTTTATAGAGAGAAACTACATCAAAATTTAGAGAGAGAAACAACTTGAAATTTTTTAGAGAGAGAACTATCTCAAAAAAAAATTAGAAAGAAATTATATCAAATTTGAAGTTTTAAAGAGAAAGTATCTTAAACTTTAGATAGTGAAACTATATCAAGTTTTAGAGAGAAATTACCTAAAAAAAAATTAAAGAGAGAAACCATCTCAAAATTTTTAGAGAAACTTTCCCGAATTTTAAGTTTTAGAAAAAGAAGCTATCTTAAAGTTTATTGAGAGAAACTATATCAAATTCTAGAAAGAGAAAACTGCTTAAAAAAATTTTTGAAATAGAAACTATCTCAAAGTTGTTAAAGAGAGAAATTTCAAATTTTTAAAGAGAGAAACTATTCCAAATTTTTTGAAAGGAACTATATCAAATTTGAAGTTTTAGACAGTTTTCTATCTAAAAATGTTGAGATAGTTTCTTTATCTAAAAATTTATAGGTAGTTTCTCTCTCTGAAATTTTGGTAAAATTTATTGTTGCATACCAAATATGTGTAATGCAATTTTCATATAAGAATATTTTGCAGGAAAAGGTTTCACACCTACCAAATGTGTCCTAAATAGTGTAAACCCAAGTTACGCAAATAGGTGACCCAAACGAGGGATTTGCATAACCCGGGTATTATCTGTAAGCTATCCAAATAATCATTTTCTAATAATCAGGTTTTGGCATAACCATGTCATGATCTAAAACATGGTTTTATTTACCCTAAGATCCAATCGAGCCCTAAGATGTGGTTGCATACCAAGTATATTACCCTAGAGATATAATAAGTATATGGAAAAGTATACAAAGATATTATTTATTTTTGGTACAAAGAGGTTATAAATATTCTTGTCCATCGGATTTCAAATTGGGTATTTGTATGTAATTGACTAAATTTAAAGTTCAAATTTTTTTTTATTGAATTTAGTGGTACACCCCAAGTCATCCAACAATGGTAACCTTCATTTAACAAATATAAATATCTCTCTCTAGCATGCTTTGATGTACTATGTTTAAGGGTGTGATGGGCCGGCCTGGCCAGACAGGACCAGCCTGGCGAGGTCAATAATAAAAGGGCTTGGGCCGACCCAAAGGCCATGCCAAGGTTGAGTGACCATGGCACCCGGGTTGGGCAAAGCCTGGCATAGGCTAAGGCCAACCCGGTTAGGCCCTGCCCAAGACTCTTTTTTTTTTTGTATTTTATTTAGCTTGCCTGCCCGGACCTCATAAGGCTAGGGCAAGGCTTGGGCTTGGGCTTGGGCTTGGACCAGGCCTTTCTAGCCATATTAGGACGAGGCCTGGTCGGCCCTACAGGGACTAGGGCTGGGAGTACGTTGCTCGCTTTAACTTTCCCAGCTCCCTCTCACTCTCCACTGGTGCCAAACCTTCGATCTCTCTTTTCCCTTTCTTTTTTTTTCTTTTTCTTCTCTAATGTTGCTGTCACACATATATATATATATATATAAAAGTTTATTAGGTTTTTGGATGGTTTTACCAACAGTAATGGTGGGTCACCTAGTTGTTTTGCAGAAAGCGCAATGGAGAGATGACACCGACCTTCAAATTCCTTCTTTTTTCTCCATGTAAGTCTCCTCTTTTTATTCCGACTCAAATTCATAATTTCCTTTCCCGGTTCTTTAACATCTTTTCCTCTTTCTCCTGTTCATCTCACACCCCCCTTCTCTTTTTTATTGTTTCCTCAATAATCAGATCTGGTTTTCGAAGTTGTTTCATTTTCTAATTTTCGTTATTCAAAAACCAAGTTTTTCCATGGATTTATGCAAGAAGAGCACCTTTTCCTTCTGTCACCATGCTTGCTTAATGGCTCCTGGTCGGAATCAGATGCAATCTTGTTCCTGATAATTTTATTTCAAGACATTATGGTTTCTTGGTGTCAATCAGCACATATGAGTATGAAATGGATAAGCTCTCTGCTCTTAATTTGAGTGTCTTTTATATCAAAATTTGGGACATGGGAGTTGAGATGACTTGTGGGAGGTGTGAATAGAGGTTTAGGCTCTTGACAGAATGGATTGTAACAAAGAAGATGCTTCTAGGTGTAAAGAAATTGCAGAAAAGAAATTCACCGAAAGGGATATAAAAGGTTGCCAGAAATTCGCCTCTAAAGCCTACAAATTGGACCCTGGTTTCGAAGGCATGGCGCAAATGTTGGCCACCATTGACATTCACCTTGCAGCTCAGGTTAAAATCAACGGGGTGGTTGACCATTATGCGGTTCTCCAGCTAAATCCATGGGATAATCTTGATACAATCAAGAAACAATACAGGAAATTGGCTTTATTGATTCATCCCGATAAGAATCGATCAGTAGGGGCAGAGGGGGCATTTAGTTACTTATCTGAGGCTTGGAATATCTTATCTGATTCCTCAAAAAGATCACTGTATGATCACAAGAGAACGTCCACTTCGAATTTCAATTTGGAGAACTTTTCGCAACCTAGCACAGCAGTAAAAACCGATGTGTCTAGTGGGCAAATGCACGATGTTAATGGGTTTTATGGTGTTTCCAATGCCTTTAGGGATGCCAATAATCAGCACCAAAAGCCTCGTACATTTTGGACTTCATGTGGGTCATGCCACATGAGGTATGAGTACCTAAGGAAATATCTGAACAAGAAGCTTTCTTGTCAGTTTTGTAAAACACCATTTTTGGCCATAGAAATGACATACGGTCCTCCCACAAATAGTTCAAACTCAAACTCTTCTTTCACTTGGTCCTTTGCATGTGATGTAAATGGGCGAGGTGAAAAGAAAAATCATAAAAAACACGGGGATTTTGGTTGGCATTCATTTGACCCCCGCTATAATGGATCCAGCCATGGAATGGGGTCTTCAGGTTTTCAGTCTAAAGCAGGGAAAAAACACTGTACCAATTTGAATTTTCAATGGAGCCCATTTTCAGGGGTTTCAAGTGTTCATGGTGTAACTACTACAACTAGTAATGTTGTGCAACATGGATATGGGAAGGATGCTAAGGCAGCCACAAAGAAACTTGGAAAGAGGACTTGTTATTTTGGCAATGAGAATTTCACGGGAAACATGGATTTTACTTGGGGTGCCAGGGAAACTTTGAGTACAAACCCAGAAGGAGCAGGCAAGAGGTGGAAAAATGAAGGGGATAGTTATACCGATGGTTATGAAGAAGGCGGCTTTTCTATGACAGGAAATGGCTGGAAAGTGACAGTGAATCCTCCGGGACCAAACACATCGAACACCATAACTTCGAAGAAATTTGAATCTGTTAAGTCAAACCAGGTTGTTAATGGAACAGCTAATGGACTAAAAAAAAGTGGTGTTAATGATTCTGTTATAGTTAAGCCCCCTGATGGAAGACAGGTTTCTATGGCACCTGCATTTGATGCTAGGCAACTATTGATCAACAAGGCAAGAGCAGAAATTCGCAACAAATTAGAAGAGATGAGATTGGGTAATGCGAAGCCAAGCCAAAATCAAAACACAAATGATGATTCTTTGGACAACACAAGAGAAGACCCATCTCCTCAAGGGAGAGATTGTGCGTCCAAGAAGCAAGGATTGGTCATGGATATGAATCCATGTGGCTCCAATTTCCATGATTTTGGTAAGATTCGATCTGAGGAATGTTTCCGGCAAAACCAAATATGGGCCCTATATGACAGAGATGATGGGATGCCTCGTTTATATGGCTGGGTTCAAGATGTCATTTCTTTGAAGCCTTTTAAGGTATGCATTAGGCATTTGTACTCTAAAAGCTGTCGGGAGTTTGACTTTGTAAGATGGGTTGACTTGGGTTTTGCTAAGACTTGTGGATCTTTTCGGGCAGGGCAATGCGAAGTCATTGAGAATGTAAAGGTTTTCTCTCATGTTGTTTGTGGTGAGAAGGGTAGGAAAGGCTTTTTCAGGATTTGCCCAAGGAAAGGCGATGTTTGGGCTCTTTATAGGCACTGGTCTAGTGAGTGGGATGAGTCTACTCAGGATGAGGTGAGGCGTCAGTATGACTTGGTCGAGGTGCTTGATGACTATGTAAATGATGGAGTATGTGTTTTTCCTCTTGATAAAGTTGTGGGTTTTAAGAATATTTTTGGAAGAAACCCCTCTCATAAGATGGCCCGATGGATTCCAAAGAAAGAGATGTTACGATTCTCACACCAAGTTCCTTCACTGTTGCTTAGAAAAGCTGAAAATACACCAGATGGTTGCCGAGTCCTGGACCCAGCAGCAACTCCATTAGAACTACTCCATGTGAAAACAACAGATGAGAGAGAAATTTGAGCAGTAATTTTCGCGATATATCTCTATAATTTCTATATTCATTCTGATTCAACTCGAATGTACCATACATTGACCATCTGAGGATTGTGCTTGTGGTTGAGGCACACTAGCCAGTAGCAAATGAAATTTGGGATCCACTTTGTTGTCCTTTCGGTGAACTGATCATAACGAACATGAATTCCTTTGGTGAGTTTTGTATGTACTGCACATTCTTTGAAATGTTGACTAAATGTTGCTTTTATCCTGACAAGCCTATGTCTCTTCTGTAAAAGTTGTTGTAACTAATCAGTCTGGTATATGGTGCCACACTGCCATTGTATCTTGTTCTCAGATTTCTTGTCAATACTTTAGAGCAATACCTAATTTCAAGCAATTACAGAGTGCTCTAGACTCTAATGATGGGAATATTATGTGGTGCTCATTGTAGAAATATTAGTCTTATATCTTCATTTGGTAGGAATGGGATTGACTTCAAGCTCATAGATCAATTGAAGAGCCTTGTTCCTGCAACCTTGTGGTTGTGGGATCAAAGTCATACCTGTTGAATTATAAATATGTGGGAAATTGTGACTCAAGTTTTTGATAGAGCTGGGGGTTGTATTCTTCTTCATATTGGGTTCCAATATGCACTTAATCTTATTATTAATTTTATAAAATGTACTTTTATTCTTGTGTGCATATGAAGATATAGCAAAATTATACTAGGATATATCATAGTTACCAAAATCTCTCACCCAAGGTCGCAACTCCAATTTTTGAATCCCGATTCTGTGATTCTGATAAGGAATCTTTACGGAATCCGTTTCTGTGAAGTCAGAAATCTCAATTCCTTATTTTAGGCATCTTGATTCCAACATTTATAAAATATTGTTTCTAATGTTTATTGATTCTTGATTGTGCAATTGTGGAATCTCAATTCTCCATTTATTGATTCGGGATTCTACATATAATGATACTTTCTCCGTCAAATTAAAAGCACAAACATAGGGCGATGAACTACAAAATAGACAATTCAGATCCTATGAGAAGCGTCAAATCAGAAACTTGACTCAGAAGATATCATAATCTTGATTCTATATATGAAAGAATCTCAATTCCATATTGGTCCAGAAACTCGACTCCTAGGAAGACAGAATCTTGATTCCATATATGTAGGGATCTCAATTCCATTTGAGTCGAACCTCGATTCCTATAAAGTAGGAATTCGTTTTTCCCCTATTCCCCTTGTACAGACATCGATTCTGAGAATAGGAATCTTCTAGCCAGCTGCGATTCTACGAGTCCGATTCCTGAAACGGTTCAAAATCTCAGGCATTTCCATCAACTATAGGATATATACTGTTAAGGGTTATTGACATAAACCTGACCATTACTTTAGTGGGGTACACAGGTTGCATGTTTGTTGTTAAGAAACCAGATATAGAGATTGGAATCTCATACATACACTAATGCATTGTGGATTATTATCATTTTTTATTAGGTCATTTGGGATTATTGTCTCAAGTTATATTAGCCATCATTCGCATAAAATCTTGGCAAGCATATCCAGTCTTCAATGAGGTCGTCTAATTTGTAGGATATGCCCTTTAGCTGTTTTCTAGGTTATTTGATGGGGAAAGGAACATCCGTACATTCAAAGGTTCCTTTTAATGACTTAATAGATAGGGCATGATTCTTCAGAAGTTTGAGGGATGAGGATTCAGGATTACAAGCAATATTGGAAGACTATAGTCGGGAGTGAGTAATCTGATGTTCCTAGTCTTCACCTCCATCCCCATCTCATCCGGATGATTGTTGGAAACTCAGTGTTGATAGTAATAGAAAATGATTTCCTTTGTTTTTATTAGTTCTCTAGTGATTAATGAAATATGTTTTTTTCTGCTCACATCCACTATAGGACTGCCAGATTGCGATTTATGGCCTCCAATGGGTACCTCGAGGCTGGTATTTGAGACATAAAATTAGCAGTAGGTTTTGGACAAAGGTTAGTTTAGTAATTTGTTACTGTTTTACCATCATCTTATACATAATCGTGCTGCTAATACATGTGCATAATAGTTTTACTTAGATCCAATGATTTAGATCAATTCTAGCTGGAAAATGATCATTAGTTGACTTGCCCACACCAATTTGGTTAGTGAGTATTACCTTGAGTAAATTTTCTGCTATACTTTCTATGTTGTTCATCTTTATTGTGTGAAATGGTATTGCAATATACGTATTTGGTTTGAAACAGAAATAGCATGGTGTGTTGTATTCAACTTCTAGCATAGACTATAGCGGCAGTATGCTTATTTAGACCATGGGAACATTTATCGATATAGTAAACATATTCACGTAGTTGAGATTCTTAGATCACATCTAACGAAGTTTTGTGATTTATCTGATTTAACATGATTTCTGTGTATTATCTGATGGACATGCTGTACTAGGTGATGGATCTCGCACTTGTTGCAGCATCTTGCATTTGCCCAACTAAATTAAGCTAGTGCTTAAAGGTTAGAGCTAGTTCTGAATTCTATCTATGTTTTTAGTTTCCCTTTTGATGGGAGGACTTTATCATCTGGAATCTATTTTCTTGGATTGATCACACTGTCAGTCCATGTTCACCATGTTGAAATCCATAAAACTGTTTGTATGCTTCCTCTTAGATTCAACTATTCCTCAAACAAGGTTTAATATTGTGGTCACAAGTGTTTGTATTTTAGGTTTATTGGCATGTGGAAAGATGATAATGTGCGTGAAATAGTGTGCTTTTTGAGGTGGAGGATTTTGAGGTTGCTTTGGATGAACTTATAGGATTTTGGAGAATAACACCCATTCAAGTCTTAGTAGGAGACTTGGTTTAGACTGATTTAAGATTTTAATGAGGATAGATATTGATCGATGTCGTTCCAATAAAGGAATATGAACCCTGGATTTTACCACAGGGCCTTCCAAGGAAACCCATCATCAGGACAAGAAATCAAACAGAGAGAGAGGGGTTTCCCATCACTTTTTTGTCCAGCCAAGAGAGAGAGAGAGACAAAGAGGTACCTTCACTAGGATCCTAAGCTTGACCCTTGCTGTGCTTGGATTATGATTCTAATAGACGCTGGCATTTGAAATGCCTTTGTGGACTTTGTTTTTAAAAATCCAAGGGTACCTTAACTTTAATATATCTCCCGGGCTTCTTCATTGAAGAAGGAGCAGTGTCAAAGGTCCATCTCTCAAGGGCCCCACCGCCACCTCTTGATAAAATTGCTTAGAAAATGTGAGAGCTTTGGAATGTTTCATACATTGCACAATATTGTGAAGAAGATGGAAGTTTTTAATGGATTTCGAGAAACCCAGTGTTTCCTACATTTAAGAACTTCTCCTATCTGGGGAAAAATGTCCTTTTTGTTTTAGGGTGAGGTTTGTATAAGGTGCTCACCTTATACTACACAAGTAAGCTGCAGCTCTAAATTTTGCTAGAAGATGTACTTCCTGTATCAGAAATCTTATGAAGGCTAAATCTATGTCCAAATGTAATAAACAATGTACATCGAACAGATCTATAAACACTTGAAAATCTTGAAAGTGATGGTCGTGATAACTTGTTCTAGAATACATCAATTTTTAAATTTGAAATTAGATTTTTTCTTTATATCCATGCATATCAAGGTTGACATGATCAATTGAAGGTTTGCTAGCTTCGAAGTACTTTTTTCTACTGGATTTCTGAGGGGCGCCTTACCTTTATAGCATAATGTTGCAACCTTATATAATTTTTTTTTTTCTATTTCTAGAAATTAAAAAGAAAGAATGTCATTGTGTTAAGCCTATCTAAACCTTAGGTACATCAAGTTTGAGATGTTTCAATCACATAGGAACGAGTACTAATTATAGGCTTCTAGAGTCATTGAATAAACCTTTTAAGATGTAGCCTCATGCTTGTACTGGAAAGTATTATGTTATATCTTGCCATAATCTATTAGTACATGGGTGAAAAGTTTAAAATAAAACCATCATGCTGATTATACATAGGTGTTGAAAACGCATATGGTGGATAAATAAGTATTATGTCCATATAGATTTTTTTTTTCTAAATTTTAAATTTTGAATCCGAAAGATGCTCCTAAATGGATCTTTTATCTGATAAAACATACATTACCAATTACAACAAAGCTACTATACTATTTGAAAATAAATTATGGCTGTAGAGCCGAGGCTCTAAACAATCAAAGTAAAGCGCAACTTCAAATAGTATCGAGAAATGTCGTTTCAATATTGGAAATCATTGTGGTAGCCTTAAAATATATTTTCATTGTTAATTATAAACTTTAAAACTTCTAAAATATTGTATATCGAGCATATTTATGAAAATTTGAAAATCTTGAAAATTGACGGTCTAAAAATGCATAAGATGCACTATTTCCAAAAACTTGAAATCCACTTTTTTTCTCATGTCCATGCATGTTGATGTCGAGATGATCAATTTGAGGATATTTGGGCATCAAAACAACCTCTTCTAGTAAAATTTTTGAGGTGGGCTCTAATTTGATTGTTTAGAGCCTCGGCTCTATATAAACTTTTTCAACAACGCTATTGTACTATTTGAATCAATAAATTATGGGTGCAGAGTTTGTATAGAGCTGAGGTTCTAAAAAATCAAAGTAAAACGCACCTTCAAATAGTATCAAGAATGTGGTTTCAATATTGAAAATCTTTGTGATGGCTTTAAAATATATTTTTATTTTTAATTATAAAATTTAAAGCTTAAAAAATAGTGTAGATCAAGCAGATTTATGAAACTTTGAAAATCTTGAAAATTGACATTCCAAAAATGCATAAGATGTACTATTTCGAAAAACTTGAAATCCACTCTTTTCCTCATGTCCATGCATGTCGATGTCGATGATCAATTTGAAGATATTTGGGCATCAAATCAACCTCTTCTAGTTAAATTTTTGAAGTGGTTTCTAATGTGATTGTTTAGAGCCTCAGCTCTATATAAACGTTTTCCTTATCTTAATTAATAATCTTACAAATAAATAATATCACCTTTTAAGTAGAATTGGTTTTTAGGTAATTCAATGGGGAAGCGGTCCCTTACGCGTGATTGGAATAGAGATGTTATGTTATAGCACTTGCTACTCTAACCACTTGGCCTTTCATCAAAATCGTAATTGCAAAATTAGAAAGTATAAGTCTACAATATATTAACTACAATTTCAATTAGTAAAATTCTAAACTTTGTTCAAGCTTTCATATTTCTTTATGGTTTATAATATAATATATGATTAAAAATTGCATTTAGTTTTAGTAGAGTTTATAGTGAGCAGTTGGTAAAATACTAGGAATTGATT